TTTTGCATGTTCCACCACGTTGGCCTTGGCGTTGGTAACGATTGGGAGTTTCCCATCGTTCTTCCAGTTATCCTCTTCAATCCGCAGACGGAGGATCAATTGCTCCAAGTTCATTTCCTTTCGCTCATGCTTAAGGTAATTCTTGAAATCCTTCCAAGCCGGCGGCAATAAATGGATAATTGACGCCACTTGGAAAGACTCACTAATTGTCATTCCTTCATCTCGAATTTCGTTGAAGATCATTTGCATTTCCTCAATTTGACTCAGACCGTCTTCGAATCCACCATTTTAAAATCAAGGAATCGACCAACAACAAATTTCTTTGCGTCGGCATCCTCGCTTTTATATTTGTGGTCCAAAGCATTTTATAGCTCCTTAGCCGTAGCTAATTTGCTATACACGTCGTACAAAGCATCATGCAGCCCGTTCAACACGTAGTTTCGGAAAAGGAAGTCAGAATGCTTCCAAGCTTCAACCGCGTTGAAAGATTGCGCATCCACCTCACCCCCGGTTGCTACCGGCGCATCTTCGGTCAAGAATCTAGCAAGACCGAGAGTAGTGAGGTAAAATAGCATCTTTTGCTGCCACCTCTTGAAGTTTAACCCGTTAAATTTTTCGGGTTTCTCCACAGAGTTGCTTGGCACGGTAACCATAGGGATTGCTCCTTGGTTGCCCAAAGTAGATGCACCGCATTGTGAACCATTGTTCACCGGTGCTCCACTTTCAGAGTGATTATCGTTTGGCACGTTCTGCCCACCAACATTTCCAATTTCTTGTGAAGCCATTTTAACGTTTTCAACGTTTTCCGAAAACACAAAAAATAATTTTGTTCACCGAAGTGACAAACTACGTTTTTAGATTGTTTACCGCAGTACAACAACCAAGGAAAATACGTTTTAGGATTGTTTAGCTGAATAGAACAATCACCGAATACGTTTTAAGACTGTTTACCACAGTAACACAATCACCGAATACGTTTTAAAATTGTTGGGTGTGTTTCGGAAAAAATGAAGAAATATTAATTAAATAATATTAATTAATAAATAAAATAGCTAGAAGAAAATAGAAAATAAGATGGAGCAGATTTTAGCCAGAGCTCGTGCTACGCACGATGTCCTTAAAACGTATCCGTCACCTCCCACGGTGGTAGGAGCGTTGCAACGACCGTTTCCCTGGATACGGTGGCTAACGAACGATCGTTTGAGTACACAAACGAAAGTCCCGGTGAACTGGAACAATAGCAGAACACTAGGGAAATTTTCAGAGTAGCTGGAAGTGTTCTTAGCTCAAGACAACGTGAGGAATGCATTGTGTGTTGTCAAACCGTGTGTTTGTTGCAAAGCACCTGCCAACCTTTTATAGGAGGATTTGTTGCGTGTTAAATGGGGTGTTAATGGACCTCAACGTTGGACATCAATGACCAGTCCGTTGGGCATTGAATCATCCATAAACTGTCCATTTAACGCTGCATTAAAAGACAGGAACGTTGGACATTTAATGGTTGTAACGGATTGGAGCAGTTCTAGTGCGCGATCAGAATACCCCCATCAGAGTTGGAGCAACTCTGATGCTACCAGAATACCTCCACCAGAGTTGGAGCGTCTCTGGTACGAAGCCACCAGAGTTGGAGCTTCTCTGGTACGAAGCCACCATAGTTGGAGCGTCTCTGGTACGAAACCATCAGAGTTCGAGCAACTCTGGTCCTGGGAAAAATAAAACGTTACGGGAAGAAACAAAAATTAGACCGTATTTTGACTGATAGGTTTTCGGACGACATTCGTGCCCGCAGGTCGCCCGCGCACACGAGTCACGGTTTTTCTTCTCCGTTTCGGGATTTGATCAGCACCCCCCTGCGCGTAAGAGAGAACCTTTACCTCTAGGAATCTTAACTCCTTAAAAGAGGCTTCCCTTTATAAGGGGGTCAAAATCCCTTGAGATTTCCGGTGTGGGATAAAATACACTAGAAACCCATCATTTTCCTAGTTTTTCCATTTCAACGAGTGAACTTCGAGAATTAATTTCTCATTCACCCGTTATTCATTTTGAGTGTACCACATATCGAATTGTAGCCCTTAACAAGGACAATCCGAAACCACTTCGACCCGACCCAAATCAGAAGTGGACCCCACTCAAATAATTGCCCTAAAATGACCATTTAATGCAATTTTTAACACATTTTCCAACAGAAATGAGAATAAGGTGAGGCGGCAGAGTCAGCAAAGGTGTCGGAGGTGGAGTCATCGAATCACTGTCGTCGAAGTCTGGGTGTGGTCGCTGGATCTGTCATCTTCAACGTGGATAGATGTCCGCTTGGCAAAGAAAGAGTAACAGGCTGGGTGGTATTGGGACGAGAGAAGTCATAAATTTATCCTTTAAAAAATTGGTGATATATTTGTCCATTGAAAGTCTACTAATCATATTCGGGCCATTCTATCATAATGTAGTATGTAAAAAACATAGATTGGGGATTTAAGGGTGGTGCACCAAAGGTAGAATAATAGAATTATAGATTTGTGCAAGCAGAAGTGATGTGGACTTCCCGTGTTTTTACGATTTGTTTACTATTTTTCTTACTGGTTGGATGAAAATACAAGATAGAGCCACAACTCAGCCTACTCAGCCTAAGTATAATACATAAATATTGGGCCTAATTTTCTTTTCACTTTTTTTAGACCTAGGGCCGTCGCCCCTGCTGCCCTCCCCCCAGGGCCGCCCTTGCTTGCACCCATGCTCTATGTAGCACTGGTACGGATACGCGAAAACGTGAAAACCAGTACCGGGTTACGACAAAATAAAAAGAATTGAAGTACTATATATATACATGAGCATATTTATAAATATTAGAAGTTATGAGAGTGTGTTTATAAATATTAGAAGTTATGAGAGTATATTTATGGAGAAGGATGGTTGATAACTTCACAAATTGATGATTGAATAAAGTTAAATAACAACCCCATAATTAATGTCATTTATCTAATAACATTATTCCTTTTGAGATATACATGATTAAAGAACCTAGAAGGAATGTTATATTGCTCCTCAGAAGATTAGTAGCAATTTTGATGGGAAAGAATGACACAAATATTATCTCTCAACTTTTATGAGACAAAAATATGACTAAATTTTGGTTTGATAAAAAAGTGACCCCATTTTTCATTTATCCGCTTCTTTCATTCGTCCTCTGCGCACAAAGCCAGGGACCGAGTTTCCTTCTACGCTCGTAGACAGAGCAACTCCACAGCAGGACACCATCTCTCCACCTCAAACCATCACCGTCCATCTCTCTAGGCCATCGCCGACCATCTCTCTGTATCTCCCTGCATGCCTTCTCTCTGCTTCTCTGCTTCTCTCTCCGTCGTTCTTCTTCTCCGACACGACCTCTCTATCAGAGATGGTGGCAACGATTCAGTACAAAACCGACAATGGCGGCGGATAGGGTTCGACAATGGTGGCGGCTATGGTATAACGATGGCGTCTCAAACATTGGAGACATAACTCTTCTTCCTATCTTTTCTACATTGATTTAATCTCTACATCTGTGATTGCTTCGATTGCGGCGAAGATTCGATTGGTTAGGGTTTCAGATCTGGTGTCGGCGGCTACGGTTGCGCTAAGGTGAGTTACATGAAGAATTATGGATGTGGACGGTGGTGGCTGGGGTTGGGAGGGGACTGGTGGGATGGGGAGGGGCTGGTGGGCTGGGCATGGGGCTGGTGGGATGGGCATGGGCTGGTGGGATTTGGAGGGGGCTGGTGGGCTGGTGGGACGAGATGGGGGTTGGGTAGGGGGCTATGGGGAGGGAGTCGGTGGGACGTGGAAGGGGGTCGGTGGGACGGGAAAAGGGTCAGTGTAGACAGGGGAGGGGGCCGGTGGGACGAGAGGTTGGTGCCATGTAGGGGGTTGGTGGGATGTGGAAGGGGCTAGTGGACTGGGGAGGGGCTGGTGTGGTCATGGTTAGGGCAGCGGTTGTCATTGGTGTCAGTGTCTGACTGTGCAGGGGCTGGGTGTGGGTGTCGAGGTATCGGCTGATCAGTCGTGGTGTTGACAACAACAATTTCAATGAGCGAAAACGATTACAGTGACGTGTATTCCGACGACAATGACATCCGTAAGTGACATTAAAATTTGACAATGACAAATCATAGTGACACGAAAAAACCGCAGTGATATGAAAAAGTGGTCGGCGGGGTGCTACTGGTGGTGTACAGTTTTCCGGAAAAGGTTGTCTGAAAATTTTCTGACGATTATAGTGATATTCAAAAGTGACATAATTAAAACCAAAACTGGAGTTTTTAACTACATTCAGCAGTTTATGTTAATATAGTACTCACAATTTGATTAATTTGAGCTATTTCATTTCATTTGTATAATATGGTTTATTGATAAAATAAAGAAAAATATATATGTAAGAATATCTAAAATGGTCATCTACATTAACTTCAGCCATAAAAGTAATTCCAACCTTACATTTTCTTATTATAACACAATTCAGCGCACGAAAACAAAAGTTACGAGCCCGTTTGATAACACTTTTATTTGGCTTAACAGTCAACTTTTTCAACAAACGCGTAATAATAAGAAAAAGTAAGGTTGGAGTTACTTGCTGTTTCGGTTTAAGTTATTGTAGATGACCATTTTAGCTATTTTTACATATAATTATTTCTTTGTTTTATCAATAAAGTATATTTGAAATTTACTTTTTTCACACATCGGTAGAATAAGCCAATATAACCACTTAAACCAGAACTTCATAAATTTTAGCAGGATCGGCCGATTAAGTTGATTTCAGTGTTACCAAATGGGCTCTACATGTTTAGTGAAAAAGTTGACTTATAAACCTGATAAGTCGAAAAACAGTGTTACCAAACGGAGTATTATTCACTTAATTAATTGAGTAAATCGAACAAAAAAAGAGAGTATTGGGCTCAGCCAAATGATTCTACTAAATTGCGCAATACATTTGGACATACATAAGCCCAACTCTAATTCTTTTCATGAAGCTGTACCATCACCATCCTGCAATTCCCACAAGCTTCTGCTCCTGCTCGGCTATGTCCCCCATTTCCCGTCAGATTCACAGCACTTCAAACCTTTCGTCATCACTGGCCGGTAACACACTATTCTTCCTTATTTATTCAAGTATAGCTCTTTTCTACCCTGCATCAGTGTCTAGACTTATTAGTGCGCAGGCATTTAGATTTTAGCCAAATTGCCAATTCCCTACATCCGGATATGTGTTATTTTTACTGATCTTGGTTTGGCTCTTCGTGTTTCACATTGAATTAACTTTCATCGGATGGTATGTAAATTCAAGATATGATTTTTGATAACCAATTAATTCAATTTGCACATATAGTCGTACAAAGGAACATAAAACTCCTGAAAGGTGATAATTCAGTTATGTATACCACGCTCATGAGAGTTATACCAAATTTATAAACTCAAAATGTATTTCTTATGAGCCATTGGTAATTTATTCAACTATCTATCCAGTGCAATAGTACCTCAATTCTCAAATCAACCATTATTAATGATTGTTTGTGTTTGTTGATTTATTTTAAGTAATTATATGAAAAGTGCGTAGTAGTAAAAGTAGGTTTAAGTGTTTGATATTAACATGATTTTTTAATAGAAAAAGTGAAATGCATTTTCAAAACACCCCTTCTCTGCATTAGTGTTTCGCTATAAAGTGATTAATTTAAGTAGAAGCATCTATTTGAAAACACTACTATCAGGCTATCAGCTATATAAAGCTAAGCTCAGAAAAATTCATTTTTTAAGCAAATGAAAACACTCTCAAAGGTATATTATGGCCAAACAACATTATGCAGTTCTGTAAAAACCTCAGTTGAACTTGAGTTGTGCTTTCATTGTTTAATTTGTACAATCACTGCGGTATGTGCATGGCGGATTGGTGGAGTAATTAGACAGAAATAATAGAACCAGATAATCATCATGCAGTGCTGATGTATAAGGCTAAGTACTTAATAAGTACAATAACCAAACACATTGTTATCTGCATGGTTTAAAAAGGTTCTTAAGAGGCGGGTTTTGAGGCGCGCCTCTAGGTGAAGCGCACAAAGAAGGTTTCGAGGCTTAGGTTTTTTTTGGAGGACAAGAGGCTTACGCCTCAAAATTCAAGGCGTACGTCCTGAGGCACGCCTTGAGGCGTTTTTGTGAGGCGTTTTTCCTTTGCTTCTATCTTTTTAATGTACCCGTAGCTTAAAATGGCAGTGTTTTTATTTAATAAAAGGCTCATACATTAAACACGTGTCTACACTTAACCCAAACTAGCCTTGTTCCATTTAAACCCTAACATATACTCCCTATTAAGCATTCTACATGTCATTAAAACTTATCCATACTTCTGCACAGACAAGCAGATAGGTAACCAAGGAAAAAATAAGAAAAATAAATAAGCAATGGAGTTAAATGATAATGAAGAAGAGAAAGAACTTAAGGATTTTTTATAGTGATGATAGAAGGGATGACAGTGAGGAGGCTATAAGATATATAATGATTCTTCTGAAGACCCTCCAGTCATGATGATTAAGCTTCAAGAGTTTCAAATTGTCATATATGTGATATGTCTGTTTTGTGTTTGAGTTATAGTGTTTGATGATGTGATTATATATGTGTTTGTGTTTGAGACTTTTTGGACTTTTATTATGCATATCTATAGTTTGTTATTACTAGATTAAGCCTGTTTAACTATTTTCAGTTTTACTTGTTGGTAAATTTTGAGGGTTATGCCTCGATACGCCTCGCCTCTCTCAAACAAACCGCATTGATACCCGAACTAGCCTTTTTAAACCTTGGTTGTCTGTACTTGCTCTTCAGTCTTACTTGCAAATGCATATAGTTCTCTTATACAATCAAATGTAAAAATGTGCTTTGGATATCTGCCACTTCAAAAAATGTGATCTCCAATGTAATGGGCCTGATCAGATTAAAAATAGAAGATTGTGATAATACAATTGAACAAAACATGGTGTCATTTGAATTTCGACCACATCTAGGAAGCTTGGTTATCTTAGGTGTTTGAAAATTTTCACTGCAAAAGAGCTGTTTTTAACTAATACTGTACATATGAAGTTTATTCCTCAATTTTTCAGAATCAATAAATAATCTTTTAAACCAAATTGCTTAGGTCTATAATAATCCCTTATCTTAGGACATATTGTTTAGGTTAATGACACTAACAATTACGTCAATGACATAAAAGAAACTTCTAATAATGTAATAAATTGGTGATGATATCTGTGATATTTCAATATCATTTCATTGTCATCACATTATGTTATTGTTATTAATATGATAATGTAGTAAATTGTTGTATTTTAGGAAAACTATTGATTAATTGAGATACAAAAGTTTCACAGCACACAACTTCTGAATTTACATACTTTATGAGAGCGTGTTTCATAAATACCCTGATAATTGGTTCTTCGAGCTTCGGCTGCTCGGGAGCGTGCATAGTGTCAAAGGCGAAGAACACCGCTGATATGCTGTGGACTTTATTTTGGTGCCCTCTTTGTTAAACAATCCTCACTTTTGGTTTTTGAAGAGGTTTCTATGAAGGTTGGCATACATAGTCTCTAATCTATCAGGTAGTTTCACAACTGCAATTTTATTGACCCCCTACCTCTACAACATGACATTCAATTTATGAGCTTGTGTTTTTACTTCATATATTATCACGGTGCAAACTGAAAACCGAAAATGACAATATCTGGATTCCTGTACTGAGTATTTTGAATTGATGCGTAACCTGGTTGGTAAATTATGTGGTTGTGAAGGGTGGCCATATTGCTCTGCAGGGCTTTGCAACAGAAAACACTTTATATGCGACTTATCCAAGATTAACATGTTGAACTGAGGGAGTAATAATGCCACTTACTGTGCTGCTTTGTTTTAGGGAAAAAATGCCTTCTGCTCTGTTTTCAAGTCTGAACTCTTCATTCACTTTTGGCATTCAAAGAGCAGTTAGTGTAAAACAAATTGGGAGATATAATCTATCTCTGTCTCTGCCTGTACAAAGTAGTCATACCTGGAGCTGCAGATATTCAAGCTACCTATGTAATACTGGAGTCATGGCTGTTACTGGCTCTGCAGCTGCCTTGGGGGATATTGTGGTGGATAACTTAATCTCAAGCTCTGCAAACCCTGCTAGTGTCTATTTTGGAGATAGAATATGGAAAACTAGTATGAGTTTGGAATCTAGGAAAGTGAAAGCTTCCTTCATATTTGATGTTTCTCATGGGTCATCCATATCATGTCTGGTAACCAGAAGAGGGTTGAAAAGTCACTGTACATCGTCTACTCCAACTTGTTCTGATGGATCATTACCAAATAAGCACCTTGCAAGTCTTGCAATTCCAATTGAACAGTATGTGCTCTGGTGTGTTTGTTGCTTTTGTTGTATTTCACCACCATCTCTGTCTGGACTCCAGAGATATACTGTCGTTCTGTCTAGTTTTGATGCATCTCTTATATCTAACTTTGTTTATCAATAAATGGGATTCATATGCTTGTGAATAGTTATTTTTTTTTCAATTCAGATTTTTGTTAAATTTTTTATTATTTGGTCTCTTCTCTTGATTTTGTTCATTGAAAAAGACTCTGATTCACAAAATCCTTCTCCCTGCGGAAGGACAAAGCAATTTTCCTTACATGAATGAGGAAACACAGTATTTGGATTACTTGAATATTAGGCCTTATTTTGTTAGTGTTTACAAAGAGTCCAAGTGACAGTAGAAGATTTATACTTTTATTTACGGCCTACTTCTTCAAAGCAGTTGATTCTACATCTTTATCATCTGCAGGTTAATCCCTATAATTTGGGGTCGGTGGCGAGAAGATTTTAGTGTCAAATTGTCAAAGTTATTGTATATAATTAGTATAGTTAAACACAATAAATCTCATGCAGAAAGGGAGAGTGAGATATTTCAGCTTTATGCTAGATGTGCTTAATAGCATAACTTTATTACAAAAGAATAATGAGATGCTATTCCAAATCTTCATCATCATTGGTTATTTCCACTTGCGACCATGCATCAATTATTTGAGATAGCTGTATGCTTGTAGCTCTCTGATTAGAAACAGTAAAATTGGCAATATTACTATATTGACAAGGTAAATGTAACACCATCCTAGAATGCTAAATCTCTGATTGATCTAGATTTAAAATATTGTTTGCACTTTCTGATTACATTGCTCTCTCTGGATAATCAGGAAGGCAGTAGGTAATGGACATCTCAAGCTAGTTTCTGGATCATGCTACCTTCCACATCCTGATAAAGTAGGAACTGGTGGAGAGGATGCTCATTTTATTTGTGAAGATGAGATGGCAGTTGGTGTAGCAGATGGAGTTGGTGGATGGGCAGATGTGGGCATTGATGCAGGAGAATTTGCACGCCAACTAATGTCTTATTCAGTCGATGCTCTTCGGCGAGAACCCAAAGATTCAATCAGTCCAACTCGGGTGTTAAAGAAAGCACATTCAAAAACAAATGCTCAAGGCTCTTCTACAGCCTGTATCATAGCACTTACTAGCAAGGTGTTTTTTATTTACATTTTGAAACCTTGACCTCACATCTATATATTTCGAGGCCTATGAGCCATACTTTGTCATCATAGGCTTATTTCAAAGAGATTGTAAATCATACTTCTTAAAACAATGAAGGATAAGAAACTACATAAAAGCCGCAATGAAAACAAGAATTGGTTTATAATGAGATAACTTGCACATTTAAGTAAAAATAACAACACAACTATCACATCATAAATTAAAATAATACTCTGTAATATGACTTCAGTTTCTTAAAACGGGAGGCCAATTCTTTCTACATGGTATTTCAAATCGATATTCAACTTCTTTATTTTTCGCTCCCTTTTAGCCTTTTTACCTTTTGTTGTTGAAGTTTTTACAATAAGCAAAAAAACTATTGGGTCTAAAAAGCAAAGCAAGTTGTTTACAGAATATGCATAAAAAAGTACTAGGCCTAGGGATGTCGCCCGTGTTGTCCATCTCCTAGGCCCCCACCTTGTATACTATCATGAAAGAGTTGCTCCCTTTAATACTTAAAATTAAAAGTTATCAAAAAAATAGGACGATCTATGTTTTATTGCTTAACTAGGATTTGTCTAACCCTGAGTTTAGTAAGTGTAATAATCTGACCCAAAGCATGCTTACACAGCAGATTTAGATATTTATAAAGTAGAACTCCTTGGCCATTAATCTTTAGTTTTGGTACTGATGGATTCCGAGGGCTTTCTCTGCCAAATTTATGGCAAAAGTTCTTAGGCAGTTGTTTGGCAACCCGCAACCTGTTCTAGAAACTTTCTGGAGGAGGTTGCAGTGACCTCCTGCACCTGCCGGAGTGTAGTCAATAAATTTAATGTCTAGGTGTCAATAAATTTAATGTCTAGGTGCCAATTTATTTAGGGTAGCAGCATACGCAGTATTTTGGTCAATCATATATGTTTAAGTCCTATCAACTTTTGTAATCCTATTTGAGGATAAACCAATATGTTGTGCTCATTTTTGTGATAAGTTTCATCTCATATTTTGCACTTTACATAGATGAAAACTGTGTTATGCACATTTGAGTGTTGTAGCTACCATTAGCCTACGTTTTGAACTCTGAAAATGGTAGAGAAATGAAAATAGTACCAAGGGTTGTTTAATGTTTGTTTTCACTTCAGAGAATATGTGGGAAAATCAATTATGATTAAAACTATATTTAAATAAAATGAGTTTGAACAAATAGCTAAAACTGACATATTGAGGTTGAAGCAGTTCATGTTATTATTATTATTATTATTCATTTTCTCTCATGTTTTATTTCCTTATGAAGATTTTCTTAGTTTTATAGTCTTATTGTTTATATGAGAAAAAATGGAGGAACGTTTCACGGATACTGGACCCAAAAAGGCTATTCAAACTTGTGTACTGAGACTTCTCATCTTTTGAGGCTCTCTTGTAGATTTGTGTTGCGGTGTTGGCCCTAGGCTACCTCATAATCAGACTTGTAAATAAGTTCAAATCATAATATCGTATAAACACTGATTCGTAACTGGTACTCCTTTCAAATAGGGTCTTCGTGCCATTAATCTTGGAGACAGCGGCTTTGTTGTGGTTAGGGATGGGTGCACCATCTTTGAATCCCCGGTTCAGCAGCACGGTTTCAATTGTCCATATCAACTTGAAAGTGGCACTGGCGGTAACAGTAATGCTGATCTACCAAGTTCTGGTCAGGTATGTTGAGCTACTGCTTAATCCTCCTATATTTCCCCCACCCACACAATGTAAAAAAGCAAACAAATAAAAATATAAAACGACTGCTTTGTTCTGCTTACATGGTTGCAACAACCAGGGGCAGATCCATTAAGGGAACATTGGGGTGTACAATTTTATTGGATTGTAATGTTATTTACTTATTTCCATCATTTAATCTGTTTGCTTATTACTCCGTATTTTGCATAGTTTAAGTTGTATGACTTGAAATATAAAATAAACTTGTCTGTGCCTGGGTTTTAATTGCCTTTCAACATCTTCAAACTCCTTGATACGCCCCTAGCAAGTAGTAAAAATCTCATATTCCCAGTTGGGCAAACACACATGTTTATACAGCTTTTCATCACCCGGCATTCATCAGGTTTTTGCAGTTGATGTTAAACCTGGAGATGTTATTGTTGCGGGGACTGATGGATTGTTTGACAACCTATACAAAGAGGAAATAGCTGGTGTTGTTCACGATGCAGTAAAATCTGGCTTTGACCCAGACACCACTGCTCAGAAAATAGCAGGTTTAGCACGCCAAAGAGCTCTGGATAGCAAAAGGCAAACTCCCTTCGCTGATGCAGCACAAAAAGGCGGGTTTCGTTATTATGGTGGTAAATTAGATGACCTTACTGTAATCGTTTCTTTGATTACTCATTCCTCGACTGCTGCATAAGCACTAAGTTTCTGCTTTTCCTTTTCTATTGGATCTTTGAGTCTGTTGGCTACAAATATTGACTGATTTTTTGATAAAGAAATGTGCAATTTGATTATTATTTTTTAAAATTTGATTTAATTACTTCTTGTTGATGATTGAGCACAAATGACAAATCCTGTTAAACTCGACATCCTAATGAGGACCGGATATGATTTTGACTTGGCTCTCAAATTTAGATAGTGGGAATAAAATGAAAATATATGGTTGTAGTTGTGTAAGAAAAAAGTGAATTGAATGTGAACCACAAATTTTTTCCAAAAGTGAAAGTTGGAAGAATTAATTGGGACGGTACAAAAAGGAAAGTCGGAAGAAATGATCGGGACGGTGGGAGTAAATCTTTTACCTAAATTAATTGTGGAACTTGGGGAGTAAAAATTATGTATCAAGTGTTATGCCTCTAATAGAGATTAGATCTCTATAATCCAGGTACCAAAATTGCAATTTCTTCTCATTTTTGCTCTCATTACGCCTCTAAAATGATTTAGCCCCTATTCTAACCCATCTAGAAACTGACCTTGTGGGGGGTTGATCCAATATTCCCAATTTCACACAGAAACAGGTAATAACTATGTGCCAAAACCTAAGAATGGATCCAAATAATAATGTGAAATGATACATAATGTGAAAATAACTACAGGTTGAAAAAGATGCTTCGTATTTGCTTGTTAAGTCGATGGTACACCATTTGATAAAAATAACTATAGGTTTAACTTTGTGAGACCAAAGGAGTAAAAGCTAGCTAGAATAGCAGCTAAAACTGCATAAGCTAGGGGCCAAAAGCGCCCCATCCTTACTCTGGTTCTTTATTTTTTATTGGCAGAACTGAACAAACTGAGAGAGAAATAAACGGAACAAAAAGAACCTCATTGATTCATACCGAAGCTAATGAAAAGTGGTTATAACATTAGGTTGGGGACAAAAGTTATTTGCAAAACAGACACAGGGTCAAAGCAAGAACATGTTCTGATATGCTTATTCAGAAACTTTGAACACATGTTTTGGAAAACTGAGGCATTAGGGCAATATGAAAGCCTCCCCCCTAGCTTTCTTCAGGATTCTTCTTCCCCATTCTATGCTTGGACCCCCCTCTCCCCACTCCCACCCACCACCTTCATGTTTCTCTTGTTCTTCTTCGTGCTGCCTAGCTTCCTCCTCCTTTTGAGCCGCCTCTTTTCTTCTTTCTTCCTCCTGTTGCCTAGCTGCTTCTTCCTCCCTTCTGGCTGCCTCTTCGGCAGCTTCTTCTTCACGTCTTTGTTGCTCTTCTCTCTTCTTTGCTTCTTCTTTCTCTCTCCTTGCTTCTTCCTCCTTTTCAGTTTCCTCTTGAGCCGCCTCTTCTTCCTTTTGTCTTTGCTCCTCCCTTTTCTTTGCCTCTTCCTGTTGTCTCTTTGCTTCTTCTTCCCTTCTAGCTGCCTCTCGGGCAGCCTCTTCTTCTTGGCATTTCTGCTCTTCCTTTTGTTGCCTTTCCTTTTCCTTCTCTCTCTTTTGTTCTTCTTCTTTTTCTTTTTCTTTTTGTCTTTCCATTTCTTCTTGTTTCTCTCTCTGCTCTTCCTCCTCTCTCCTAGCTTCTTCCTCTTCTTTCCTAGAAGCCTCTCGGGCAGCCTCTTCTTCTTGGTGTTTCTGCTCTTCCTTTTGTTGCCTTTCCTTTTCCTTCTCTCTCTCCTCTCTCTTTTGTTCTTTTTCTTTTTCTTTTTCTTTTTGTCTTTCCATCTCTTCTTGTTTCTCTATCTGCTCTTCCTCCTCTCTCCTAGCTTCTTCCTCTTCTTTCCTAGCTGCCTCTCTGGCAGCCTCTTCCTGTCGCCTTTCCTCTTCTTTCTTCATTGCCTCTTCCTCCTCTCTCCTAGCTTCTTCCTCTTCTTGCCTTTTCTTTTCTTCTCTCTTTCTAGCTTCTTCCTGTTTTTTTCTCTCCTCCTCTTCCTTTTTCTTTTCCTCCTCTTCCCTCTTCTTCTTTTCTTCCTCTTCCCTTTTCTTCCTTGCTTTTTCTTTTGACTTTTCAATTTCATCATTCATTATCTTGAACTCTTCCTCCGCGCAAGATGTGCAGTCCAGGATTATCGCCTGTTCTTGCTGATTCAATATCTTATCTACTGTCTTGTTGTTGGTGTTTAAAGAGATGGAAATAATGTCTCTGTCCAAAGTCTGGAACACAGAGGCTTTGCCTGCCAGGTACTGAGGATGGTTGTTCTTTGCCGCTGTACTGAATCCCATGAAAACGAAAGAGTCATTGTTGAAAGACACCTGAGCCATGGGATGGAACCTAGGCACCGCAAACACGTCACCTTCCTCGATGTGGAACCTCATGGTTTTGCAGCCTGTTCTGTTTGTCGGCCCAGGGCAAACCACCGTGACCATTCCTTGTCCTTGCAAGCCGATTCCAATCTCAGTAGCCCTTGGGTTCCAATGTGGCCCCATCATTGAGCCCTATTGAAACAAAAAAGATTTATCATCAATGTTGGAATCACAAATATGCAAGAACCCCAAAATGATGGATTGATGGGACTGTATATGAAGGGCATATAACAACTGACCTTGGTCAAGTTGACCATGAAAAGGCTAATGTCAATGCCCTTCAATGCAGACAACTGCTTCTTCGATACTACTGTGCTCCACCCGTTGCAGTTTTCAAAGTCGGGGTCGTTCGAGAAAACATTGAACTGTTGCGTCTTTTTCTTGTTCTGGGCATGATATAAGCTGATGTAGCCACTGCCACTTAGAAGTGCTTTGATGAAATCAAATTCCATCTCCACTGTTTTCTTGGCCTTTGTCAATCCATGCACTATAGCTCCAGGATCTGCAGCGCCAGTAATCTCTTCTATGGCTTCCAAAGGAACCTTCAAACACAAAACACTTTTAACCTTCACTCGTCTTTGTTTCAATTTATATCATGCGACTAGGTGTAGGTTCGGTTATGACCTAGGAGGGTAAAGAACAGGACCTACGTCCCGGAACAGACAATTCTTTTTTTTCAGACTAGGGTGATAATCGGAACCTGAACAGGTTAAGGTTCAGGTTCCTCATTACCATTGGGATGGGAACCGGAACCAAACTGAGTGCACCCTTAAATGTGGTATCTTATAGAACACTATGAACTCGAGTTTACCCCAAAGGCTGCTGCTAGAGTGGCTTTATCAAAGCCGAGAATCAATCTGCGTATACTTGAGTATGGTGCAATTGCTGGTTCCTGAGACAGATGACAAAAACATATTTGTAAAACTTATAATATTCATGAAGGACATATTTTAAACCACAAATCCAAAATAGAGCTTTATTAATGGGTTCTTCATAGTTATTTAGTGAAGAATGACATTTAGGCGGAAGAAAGAAGGGAAGGTGCATACATGCAAGTCATTTTCTGCATTGGCAAAGAAGGCATAAATTCTAAGTTTTTGCCTCTCCATCTCTAAGCTGCTTTGAATGTAGAAAACGGATCCGGGTCGCAGCCTATATATATCTCCTTTTTTCAATTCTAGCTGTTTGGTCTCATCTCCATCAGTCCAATTAATCTGCCCACTCCCTTCACAAACACAAAAAATTAAATTCAAGCACAAAAACTTGCTTTTGTTCTCTTGGTTTTTATGCTTCCTTTTGTAATTCAATTTATTGCTTATTTAACAAAAACTTAATTCCAACAAGTTCCTTTCTTAATTTCTTTGGTTGAGTTCACTTAAAAATAAAGTTAACCTTTCCTGATAAGTATATAAGTATTAATTATGACATTATTAATTCCTCATTATCATTACTCTATTTTGGAATTTTTATATTTTTTTACTCCTTTTTCAAGAAACTTCCCATATAAAATCCAAGATTAAAATACAGAGCTGTGTTGATTTCAAGGATAACTGAAAGCTTTACATTAGAACATTTAACTTACTGGAGTTGGGGGCGAAAATTTCAAATTTAATTTCCTGAAACTGGATTTAAGTCCTTGCATGTGATGGAATCTGATTAGACAGCAAAGTTACCTGTGTGAACATAGAAGACCATTTCCGATTGGAGAAGAACAGGGAGGAAGAGGGCGTTTGGCTCCAAGGTGATGAACTCGATATGAAACCTCCCATTGTCTATCCAGTCGCTAATTCTCACCGTGGAAATCTCTCCCTCCTCCGTCGAAACCGCCGTTTCCCTTTCTCCCTTCTTTACAAAGAGGGCACCGCTGCCACTGACGCCTCTCTCGTCCTCCTTGGCCGCCTCATCCCCTCTCAGCACCGCCGTTGAGCACGGTGCGTTCAAGGATAAGATCAAGAATAGTGTCAAAACAAGATAGTAGATGAACGACACAGAGATCTTTGTCGCCATGGCTGGCTTGCTTTTGTTTTTTGAGTTGGAGAGTGTGGAGGTGGGAAGAAGATATACAGAGTTTAAGGGTGAGTTTTGGTACGTGTCATTTGCATGGGGCAGAGGAAGATACATGAGAGTGCCACGAATCACTCGGTGTTTGTACGGAGTATATATGAGTAAAACTCACGCCAATTCCCAAAATTAATAATGGAATGACATAATTAAAAGGAAACACTCGGTTGTATGGGGTATGGTATTTGGCATCTTCTTAGGAAAATAAAGATGTAAATCATATTTTGGGAAACACACAATGTTTTGGTCACATAAGTGTTAATTTTCTCTTCAACATATTCCGCAAATTATACCATACACCCGGATGTACGGTGAGGACCGTACATCCGGGTATTTTTTAAATTATTATCAACTTCTCCCAATCCATCTTCAGCATCTGCGCTGCCTCAGATTCCTTCTCCCAGGCCGTTCCTCCGTTTGAGATTAGTTTCAGACGTGCCTGCAAGTGATAATAGGGACCTCCAGAGCTGCCAGCTCATGTTTAAGAAGAGGGATCCATCATCACCTCAATTTGCTAATTTAATTAAGTTGTGAACATGTTAGATATGCTCAATTGACATTTAACATACGTATACGCTTGTGATAATAGGGACCTCCAGAGCTGACAGTTCATTCTTAAGAAGTGCTTTGTTTTTCTATATCTCATTGTGTAAGTTACGTATGCTCATTTAATATTCGTTTTATGCTTATTTTAAAATGTCATATGAATACATAAATGAAATGAGTTTTATGTTAAATTCAAATGAGTAAACCGTCCAAAATGAATGAGCACACAAAAATGCGTTTTTAAATTTTTTGATACTCATTTCGTAAGTTATGTATGCTCATTTGGTAATAATGGTATGCTCATTTTAAAATGTCATATCAATAATGCATATTTTAAAATTATTATACTACATTAAATTCGCATATGCTCAATAAAATAGGTCAGATACTCATTAAAAGTACATTATTGCTCATTTAGCTGAATCCGTTCGTTTTCGTTTAAATTACAAAAATGCCACCGATTTTTTTTTGGCCTGAATCAATTACTGGGTTGTCTCTCTTAGTTCGGCCGGGTGTACGTATACCCGGATGTACCATATAGGCACCCAACATATTCAGTCTCGATCATTTATATTCCCTACGTGTGCATTTCGGAACTCATTTTTAAACTAATGTTAGAAAAAGGAAAATTTGATTATTTATTTATTTATTTATTTACTACTTCCTCCGTCCCACTAACAATGGTATAAGAGGGGTGACACGCACACCAATAAAAGTGAGTTTATGTTGTTGATATTGAATTGATAAAGTACGAATGATTTAGAACCACACAAATTTTACAGAACTTGGTCTGAGAAATCTTAGTGGGATGGACTGAAAATGAAAATTGGGACAATCTTAGCGGGACGAAGTGAGTATTTATTTATTTATTTATTTAATTTATTTATTTAAAGAAATTATCTCAAATGGGAGTAAAACTAGAGTGAAATTAAAAAATAGGACATGCAATGTTTTTTTTCTCAAAATAGGACCAAATTACTCCTATCGTCAAACATAGAAAATTTAGCATTCCAGTATTACCCCTTGATATGCTTATATTTTACACACTTTTTAGGCCTAGTTTGTTGATAATATTAGTTATTAAAGTTGTACTTCTGTACATATTTTTATTATTTGTCGTTAATTTGTATTAGTGCGGTGTTATGCGTGTATTTTGTATTTTCAGGTACTTTTGATGATATTTGGATCATATGTGCATAAATTAAAGAAGAAAACAAAAGTTCAAGTTGGAGAATAACAAAAGTGGAATTTCCTTCAAAGCAAATAAGGAATAAATTGGAGAAAAGTAGCAAAAACTGATAAAGATGGGGCTAGGATTCAAACACTAGTCATTTGGTCAAAGAAGGAAACTCTCAACCAGTGAGCTAAATGAACCAAGTTGTGTGAAAAATGGAACAAAAAGAAGTGGCTAGATTTTGAACCCGCGACCTCAGAGTCACAAAAGCTCTACTGTAACCACTGCACTGCTATGTGTTGTTATAATATCATTGCGCGTTTCTGAACATAAACTCGTCAAGTTCCGTAAAATCCAGCAATTAATGATTAATCACCTTATCATTATATTATCTTAATCCATCTTCCTCCACACATAAGCTCGGACCAACTTCTCTCTAAACATCCCAGAAATATTTCTTCCTCCTTCTCTCTTCATTTCTCAACTCCAAATCATCAACCCATCTTCAACCATAACTAATCACTTTCTCATCCAAGATTAAGTCAAGATTAGCATCAAAGCTCCAAGGATTGTCATTTATCACAAGTTTGATCTTCCTTATCTCATTAAATCTTGTACTTTAATCATGAATTCATCTATTTCTATGTTTCCCAACATGTATAGCTAAATAAATTTGGGGTTAGAAATTGGTTAATTAATTGTTCTTATAATGTTTTCATTTGTATTGATTTTAATTGTTAAGTTTGTTCTATTTAGATTGTTGTATCCAGAAAATTAATTATGTTGTGTTTGTGATATATATTATGAGTACTCAATCATAAACATTTTGTTTGTTAAATACACAAATGAACATTTTCTGAACACACCGTTAAACTTCTTTTACCTTGTCCCGGATTGAAGTTTTTCGGGAGAATTTAATTATTTAATTATATTATTTACACCACGGGGTTGGGTAATAATATAGTTAATAATTAAGGTTGCTGTTGCACTTAAACAACTAGTCTCGTTTTGGCCATCACTGCGAAATGTTTACTAGTTACTTATTTTAGGTGACTTGTGTTGGGTCCTAAAATATTTATCTACAACTTCTCACAATCTGTCTTAGAATAAAATTAGCAATTATGTCTTACAAATGAGCATTGAACAATCAGTTGCCAATTTCTACCCCTACTTGCTATTGGTTGAACTTTGTGTTGATAAAAATCTTTTCTCTCAATCACTTTTATTTAATTACTTTTCCAAGCAAACAAAAATCAAAAGAAACGCATTCACAACTTTAATCCTTAGTTTGTGCTTAATTATTTTATTTCACGCTTCTCTGTGGTTCGACACCCTACTTCCTTGGGTAAAAAAATAGTTGTGTGCCCGTTATATGCTACACACTAACACACCAACTTGGCGCCGTTGACGGGGAAGCGGTTTTGAAAAAAAAAATTGAAAGCATAAATTTTGATTTGAGTTATTGTAAATTGTGTGTATATTATTTTTGTTGTTATCTTGTTTACTTTTGCAGGTTAAAAAAAAGTGATTAATTAAAGTTCAAAAAAAAATCAAAAAAAAATCAAAACAAAAATAAAAAAAGGACTGTGATTATTCATCTTACCTGAGCATTGGAGTTGGACTTGTTGACTGAACATATCTGGACATTCAGACCATTGAACATATTGTTACATCTTAATTCAAAGGATAATCCGCCTATATGGCTGGACCACTTACTTGTACATTTTAATTAAAAGGATACTCCGTCTATATGATCAGACTGCTTACTTGTACATTATAATTCAAATGATACTCCGCCTATATGGTCGGACCATTTATTTTTCTTTTTATGGTGGTTCAAACCCCAACTTTTTAATTTCTGCACTTTAATTATCGCAATTTAATGTGTGCACTTATATTATCGCTATTTAATTTCCGCACTTTAATTTCAGCATTTTTTTTTAAATTTTGCATCCCCAAGCTTGTCGGCCGTGTCCACTTGTTGGTGGAGTGCACTTTTTATTTTTATTTTTTCTTAATAATCCCCAGACTGTCGGCATAGCTGCATCTTGGTGGAGACTGTATTTATTACTGTAGCTATTTTTTTTCTTCCCTCAAATCACCATATTTGTCGGCCCAGCCGCATCCTGGTGAATTACTGTATATATTCATACTGCTTTAAGGGCTCACTAGTCTTATTCGGTTTATACCAACTGACTACGTGCGAACCTTAATTAATTAATTAATTAATTCCGCATTTATTTTTTCTTTTCATCTCTCTCTCTCTCTCTCTCTCTCTCTCTCTCTCTCTCTCCAATCCCAACTCCCTTCTGCTTATGCTCACACGTTCACGTGGTGTGAATTGTGAATTGTTATTCTTCTCTGACATTGAAAAGCACATACGTGAACAGAAAAAAATAAAAAAAATGTCAACCGATGTTGTTGTTAATGAGCAGGTACCCGATCAACAAATCGTGGATCAGGTTATGAGGACCAGAAAACCGTTGTATGATTATGTTACACCTCCCGTGGATGAGCATGACAGTGTTATTCCACCAGAGGTTAACATGAATCACTTTGAAATCAAGCCTGCTATCATCCATATGGTTTTAAATACTCAATTTGGCGGAGCGCCAACGGAGGATCCAAATAATCACATCACAAAGTTCCTTCGAGCTTGCAACACCTTCAAAATCAATGGTGTGCCAACTGATGCTGTCAGACTACGCCTGTTCCCATTCTCTCTACGGGATCGAGCTCAGAGTTGGCTTGACTCTTTTCTGGACAATCATTTCTCCACTTGGGATCAACTTCATGGTGAATTTCTCAAAAGATTTTTCCCGCCATCTAAAACAGCGAAAATCAGGAGAATGATTCAAAATTTCAAGCAAAATCCAAATGAGCCCCTCTACGAGGCTTGGGAAAGATTCAAAGATCTTCAGCGACAGTGTCCACACAATAACATCCAAAACTGGCACTTGATGACGGCTTTCTATGAAGGTCTAAGTGAAAATTCTCGGATACTTGTGGACGCGTCCGCAAATGGATCATTCATGTGCCTGGAACTTGAAGAGGCAGAAGAATTGATGGAGCGTATTTCATCAAATGGATCAACATGGTATTCTGAGCGATCATCTGCTCCACCAAAAACCGGAGGCATGTATGAAGTTAATCAAATGTCGGCCATAACCACAAAGGTCGATAGCATGATGAATCTAATCCAAAAGATGACACAAGTCTCTCTTGTGCAAAACTCTACATCAACTCCATCTCCCATTCCCGTTCTTATGTATGAATCTTGCGGTGGACAACACAATCAGTCCACTTGTCCATGGGAAGCAATGGAACAAGTTGACTTT